GGGGCAGGCGGGAATCGAACTCATGCGGAAGTGGCTTAAGCTTCTTAGTGCAGTGCTTTAACCCGCTGCGCCACCAAGGAGGGCCATCACAGACCCTACTTTTAACACACGCCGGGGAGCTCAGCCTGACCCTGAGCAGGCAGCACCAGACAAGTGCTGGTGTGGGAACAGGTGTCTGCAGCCGCTCACAGACAGGTGACTGGCAGCCAGGTGGCAACAGCAGACTCCTGGCTGGCATCTTCTCCCCCACCATCCATCACTGAGAGCAGAGATCCAGGTCCCAGAGCCCACGAGGACATTCCTGGGAAAGGGCTCTGGAGAGGGTTTTCAGAAAAGGCTGTTCGGGGTGTTTCCATGGCTTAGGTCATCTTTGGCTAAACACCACATTACTCAATCTTGGATATGCTTCCATAGCTTTTTCAAACTTTACAAATGAAGACATATTTTTTAAAGATTTATTTATTTATGCATATAGAACTGGGGTACAGGCCAGAGGTGCGGGGGTGGTGAGAGGAGTTGGGAGCAGAACAAGCCCACTGACGGGGAGCTGAGGGGAGCAGCCGGCGTGTCAGGAGAGGACTGCCGTGCCAAGCGGGTCACCTCCGGGGAGGGGATCGAACTCATGCTGAAGTGGCTGTAGCTTCTTAGTGCTGTGCTTTGACCTGCTGCGCCACCAGGGAGGGCCCCAAATGAAGAGTTTTGAGTGCTTCTTTTTAAAGACCTTAGTCAAAAAATAAATATGATTCTAACAAGTGTCACTAGTATAGTATTCTAACCTTCCATCTTCCAGGAAAGATGGCTATTAGGGAGATTCTAAAAAACTTCTGCAAAACTGGTGAACAAGTGGATGCACACACTTCATGTGTGGAACCATGGTCCTGGCCTCCATTTATGATAGCAACTAGATTTGGGAACCAACTTTTTTCAGTCGCCAGCACATTAAAAGCAGCCATCACCAAGCTGAACTTGGAAGCTGACATCTGAATGAACACAGCACAGTGTAAAAAGGTATTTTAAAAGTATTTTAAGGCCCTCTCTGGTGGCGCAGCGGGGTAAAGCACAGCACTAAGAAGCTAAAGCCGCTTCAGCATGAGCTCAATCCCTGCCCCCAAGGTGACCCACATGGTGCGGCAGACCTCTCCTTCCCCACCCGCTGCTCCCCTCAGCAGTGTATTTCATCCGTCTACCTGTTCTGCTCCCCACTCTGTCTCTGGTAAAGCCTCTCACTGCCCCTGCACCTCTGGCCTGTACCCCTGTTCTGTGCATAAATAAATCTTTAAAAAAAAAAGTACAGTGACCTTAGTAACACTGATACCAATTTTTTTATAACATTTTAGATGCTTTATTTTGTTCTGCCTTGTTTGAAACCTCTACCTTATATTACAATTAAATAGTGCGTGAAATTTTTAAACAGACAGACATATGGTGAAATCAGTTCAAACACTTTGCTAATAATAAGGGTTGACAACCCAAGTGGTAGGTTATTCAATTTAGAGCTAGGAAGGCAGAGATCTATAACGTCTGGACACTTATGAAGCTTCCTTTCATCTTCTGTTGCCAATTTCAAATTGTCCACATGATGACCTGTGGGTGTTGCAAATCCTGATATGAAATCAAAGGCTGATTCCACACCCCCACCACTACCAAAAAGAAATCAATACAATGCAAGGGTCTCCAAAAGCCCAAATGTGAAAAAAGAAATGGCTGTCAAGGGCAAACACTGTGCTCAATCATTTCAGGACCTGTTGCAACTTTCCTGACTCCAAATCTCCAAATCCACAGTCTGGGGTGGGCTGGACAAAGCTCTGGGTTTTGACTCATGATGAATTAAGACTCCTGGAGACCCCATATTCCTGGGGGGAACCTGACTTGGGCTTCTTACTATATGGATTAAATTCTATGCAGACTAAATTCTGAAGCAGGATTTTCTTTGTGTTGAATCTTGATGACGTCAGAAACGATTACCCAAACTCTCTGGTGTCTACTACTAGACAGTCGGGGGCCCAGACTACTCTGATCCTGTGGCCAATCACTAAGGGATTCTGAAGCCCTTCCCTCTATACAATGAGGTGGGAGGTAGTTTTCTAGCAGAAGGCATCCTCTGTCTTCCTCAGTTTGGGGTTATTTTGAGCCATTCCAAACCCTTAAAGAGAGTTTAGATTTTAAGACAGTTTGGTCTGTAAAATACTTTGCCACATGGACAGGACAGGTTCTGGCTTTTTTTTTTTTTTTTAAGATTTATTTGTGCATATAGAATTGGGGTACAGGCCAGAGATACCAGGGGTGAGAGGATTTATCAGAGACAGATGGGGAGCAGAACAGGCAGATGGACAAAGTACACTGCTGAGGGAAGCAGCGGGCGGGTCAGGAGAGGTCTGCCGCGCCATGTGAGTCACATCTGGGGCGGGGGATGGAACTCGCCCTGCAGGGTCTGCAGTAGATTCATAGTGCGGTGTTTTAACCTGCTGTGCCACCAGGAAGGGCCCAGGTTCTGGTTTTTAATCTGCAGGTTTAGTGTCCAGACAGAGGGGAACAGATGAACCCCAAGAGGTCGCTGTGTGTGTGACGAGCCTCTGTGAAAGGCTGCTGGCATGCACGCAGCCCTTGGTTCAGGCAGGCTGCAGGTCAGCTCACTGGCTTGTCCCATGTCAGTGTGGTGAAGCCACACTTCTAGAGTGTCCTTCCCTGGTGGGTTCTGAGTTGGAACTGGTTCAAAGACAAGCTTGCGTGAAATTTGGAAGGTGAAGCTGAAGGCAAAACCATTTTGCTGCAGAGGGCATCCCAGTCACAGGTGAGAGCAGGTGCAGATTTCAGTCCGCTCCACCTCCAGCCCTTCTCCAGCCTTGCCCTTGTATGTTGACCAGTGGTGGCCCTGGACCCACCACGCTACACAGGGCTGGAGATGCACAGAGGTGCCCACCACATGGCAACTGTAGCTCCTAGATGCTCCCTGCCCAGGCCCACTCCAGCGTCGTGTGATGTTTCCCCCATGGACTAACGTGAAGTCTCGACTCACACGCTCCTCCTGCACCTTCTCTTCTTAGCTCCCCACACTGCCGTTCAGTTCAAATCCCAGAACGAGCACTGAGCCCACAGCGCTCAGAGCAGCTCTTCTCCAACCAATCCAGACACACGTCCCCAATGGGCCCAGCCTTCCATAGGTAATGCTCAGAGAGCCCCAGACTAACATGTTCTCTGTAAAAAGTGTCTTCTTGTTCTGGGCCTCTCAGGGGCCCAGAGTGTCTTAAGTCTATGATGACAAACGAGACAAATGAGAACTTTCAGGAATACAGTTGTGTTCCTGATATAGTGGACATAGCTGTGTTGGAGGAAAACAGAACCTTAATGGGTTTACAAATTTGCTTCTGAGAATGCTTGGGCAGGCAGTGCTGAGCTGGTTCTCTTTGTCCTTCCTGGCTAAGTGACAGCTGGAGACCGGGCAGTTGGCATCTACGACCTCTTGTCCAGACTCAGCACAGCACTGGCCGTGCATCCCCGGCCATGAGGCCTCGTGAGTGCTGCTCGCTCACGCCCCATGGACAGGAGCCATGTCAACAGCGTGTGGCAGCCACTTCGTGACAGTTCAGTACCCTGGGCCTTCACAGCAATAGGTGACACTCACATGGGGGGAACCCTGGGGTGCAGGGGGCATTCCTCTTGCGCTCGAAAGTGAAAACTCAAAGTTAAAAAAAGAAAACTGAACACCATACAAATGTGGCCACGAAGTCTTTGTTTTATTGCTTTCTTGTTTCTTATTGAATGCAGAGACAGTTTTGAGTGACAGTAACAAGATGACCACACTCAACATCGGTGCTCAGACAGGAAAGGACAAGTGGAGAAGTCTTAGTTTAGGAAGGGAGTTAACTGTGACCTGCCGTCATGGGAGCCCCAAAAGTCCGCTGAGTGTTAGCTACTGGGGGTGGCACATTTAACTCCCAAGATCACTCATGATTCCATATGAGAACTCGTTTAGGCCTCTGAAGTCTCCTCTCCTGAATGGACCAAGGAAACTTCCATAGAACAGAGGTTGTCACGTTGATGAAGACCAGAGAGTTCCTGCTGTTGGACAAGTGACAGGCATTCCCGCCTACCCCGGGCCTTTGTGGGGAGACTGTCCTTCGTGGTCAGTGAGGCCTTGCGGTGACTGGGGACGCCAGGTTGACGGTGAGCAGCTTTGCTTGTTGAAGGCAAGGGGCCTCAACCTCCTGAAGGAGGGGTCGCTACACTGACTTGTGCTCAAAACACACGTTGTGCCTCTGGGCGGCGACTTTTCACTGCAATCTCCGCCTGCTGCAAAAAATAACATCTCCCCAGGGAGAGGCCCAGAGGGACACACAGCCACGTCACCCACCCCATCAGCTGACTGGCCACACACTGTGATATGGGCGTGAAACGTCACCGAGACAGTGAGTGCGGGCCACAGGCCAGGAGAACCTGCGGGAGCCTGAGAAAATGAATTTTTCCCAAAACATCTACACGGACTTTGTTCCGTATGTCAGAGCTAAGCACAAAGTGCATGAAAAAGACTAAAAAAACAAACAGACCCTCAAACAGGCCCTCCCTGGTGGTGCAATGGGTTAAGATGCAGCCCTGCAAGCTGGCCGCAGCCGCCTCAGTGCAAGCTCGATCCGTGATCCCGGTGGTGACCCACAAGGCACAGCAGACCTCTCCTGACCCGCCCGCTGCTCCCCTCAGCAGTGTACTTCTCCATCTGCCTGTTCTGCTCCCCACTCTGTCTCTGGTGAAGCCTCACGCCGCCCCTGCACCTCTGGCCTGTACCCCAGTTCTGCATGCATGAATAAATAAACCTTGGGAAAAAAACAAAAAACAAACAAACAAAAAAACCCCTCAGACATAGGGACAGTGATCAAATTCAAGATGCCAGATTTAAATACGACACTTTCAGTCTCGGCCCGTGGTCGTCGCAGGCTTCTGTGACGGGGTGGACACAAGCCAGCGGTGCCAGGTCGGAGAGGCTGAGGGGTGGTCTCTTTGGAAGAACGATGGAACTGCACCTTTGCCCAAGGCGTCCTCTGCAGCCTCCGGCTTGCGCTTCTCCGGCACCTTGAATGCTCCTTCACAAGCTGGGATGGTGAAAAAGGCAACGACAAGGAAATATAAAGGTGCGTTTATTCATGTCCATGCCTTCTAGAGCTATGAGTACAGTAATCAGGACTGGAGAAGGGGTGAGTGAGGACCTAAACAACAACAAAAACACTGGGACGTTCGGCCCCCTGAAATGCAAGTTTTAGTTCCGAAGAATCTGCACGCCGGCAGGTCAGTCTCCTCCCTGAGCAGCTCTCGTCACGCTTCCCGCCAGCATCGTCTGTCCCCGGGTAAGGCCTGGCTAGTGTTATGGTGGCGCCCCCGCACCCGCGGGGCTGTGCACGGCAGGGGCTGTCTGTCGCCTGCATGTCAGTCCCCCGCAGGCCTGTCAGGCTCCGGCCCGCTCGGCTCTGCAGTCTGCTCCCGGAGCTTCTCCACCGTCTGCAGCAGGGCTGCCCTCTCCAGCTCCAGGGCCAGTGTGGCCTGCTTCAGCTTGCTTTCGCTAGTCAGAAGCTTCTCAACCGTGGCTTCGAGGCTTTGGATTCGACCGTTCGCCACCTGGAGGGTGAGAGAAGACACGGGACTGAAAATGCCCAGCGACGGTGCAGAGGGGACTCCCTGTGCAGTCCCCTGTCCAGCGTTGGGACGCTTTGCCACCATGTTTCGGCAGAGCCCAGTCTAAGAGGACGCACCGGAAGGCACTTCCGAGCTCTCCACACGTAAGCTGGGCCGCCCTGACCTTTAACCATCTCAGTTGTCATCCCCGTGGGCTTCCCATCACCAAATCACCCTGTGCCATCACCACAGTCCAGTGCACTTCCCTTCCCCCACTGTTTTTGATCCAGTTCCCTGCTCCACCCCTGGAAAATATCTCTGGTATATAGTTGTTCATTATTGCTATTATTCCCCCAACCCCCACCCCTGGTCCTTTATAATCCTGCCACGAGTGAAACCATCTGGTATTTTTCCTTTTCTTTCTGGCTTATTTCACTAAGCATGATCCCTTCCAGCTCCATCCATGTTGCTGCAAAAGGCAAGTGTTTATTTTTTTGGGTTGCTGAGTAATATTCCATTGTGTACATGTACCACATCTTTTTAATCTAGTCATCCACTTTTGGGTATTTGGGCTGCTTCCATGTTTTTCCTATTGTAAATAAAGCAGCAATAAACACAGGAGTTCAGGTGTCTTTTTCAATCAGTGTTTTTGTGTCTTTTGGATAAATACCTAGGAGTGGGATTGCTGGGTCATAAGGAAGCTCCATGTGTAGCAGTTTGAGGAACCTCCAAACAGCTTTCCATAGTGGTTGTACTAGTTTGTATTCCCACCAACCTGCAGCATTTTCTTACCCTGCCCTGGTCAAATGATGTGTCACGGAGAAGAGGGGACACTTCCGACAGAGACTTCTGCCACACTAAGTCACAGAAGCTGCAGGCCTCATCTGTTTGGGCGTATAATACCTACATTTACATGGACAGACTGACTTCAGGCTAACTGTAAAAATAGTTCCCATGTGAAGGCCCATGTGGCAATAGCTCCATAATCTGAAGTTCTTTCTATTTTCCTTGCAGTTAGAAGACATCACCATGCCAAGCAACATGGGCCTGACCCCGGATGTGCCAGGGACCTAGCACGTCAAGCGTTATGCGAAGAGGTTCCTGTTAACAGTCTCACGGCCTCGTCACCATCACAGAGATAAGGGCTGCTCTCACTCCCACCAGTCCACATCCCCAGCACCTGTCACACAGCGAGCGTCAGGTAGACGGAACCTCTCCTGCTTCTTTCTAGCAGCTGTCCCTCCCCTCCCTAATCGACTCGGCAAGTGCCCCAGACAAGGGAGCTGGAGCTAGTGAAGCTGAAACATATCCTGAGAAAAATCACAGAAGACTCTGACCCGCCAGCTGCTGTCCCCACGGTCACGTTGGCCTCGCCCCCGGCCCGCGGCTGTGTTGTGTGTTGGTGGGGTCACTGGCCGGGTGGGTATTGCTCTACCTCCTTCGTCTAGACACCCCTTATTTTAGTGGGAAGAATAGTACCAATATCACACAGATTACTTTTTTACATTTTCTAAACAGGGGAAAGTTTTTGAATAAGACAACCCATGTGCCAGACAGCCAACTCATGACTCAAGGTCTAGCTCTGCCTGTGCCACCAGATTTCTGGAACGAGGAGACAAAAAGACCCGGATCCTGTTAGTCAGCTCTGCAGGAAAGGGCAGCCGTGCTCGGGGTACATTCCTGGCTCTGCCTTCGGCTCCTCACAATACCCCTATGGTCGAGGCCCAGCCGGCCCTGCCTCAACTCCACAAAGACCTGCTCACACCGCAGCCCCGTGGCCTTGCAGGGCGCCCAGGGCTTTGGCCGCGAGCCGTTCTCCAAGAATGTTGGCCTGCACGTTGGGCTGGCCTCGCTCGGCACCCGGTTAGCGTGGGCTGGCCTCCCTGGGGCTCTCAGCAGTCGGGACTGTCGTGACAAAGGTACCTCCCAATCGCTGGACCGCGTGCGTGGGGCAGTGGCCTCACTACTGCCGCATAGAACCGGCTCAGCAGTTGGTGTCCAGCTGCTGGACATTTTGTTGTTTTAAATACAACATTCTTAAGTGTTGACAGGAAAATAAACGGGCCTTTGCTATGTGCAACAAGGAGCTGAGCAAAGGCAGAAAACAGCTCAATTCTGATATTTTGGCAAAAACCAAGACGTAGAAAATTGAATGTTACGTTGAATAGCTATGTCTCCTTGGATCAATGGCAAATCCTTGTGCTTTACCCATTTACCCCTTTCCCTCTCACAGGGAATAATGAGGAAACAATATGTAAGCACCCACAAATCCACACACCGTCCCCCTGAAACTCCCATCATTCACGGGCAATCGGAATGCGGGGGAGCCCTCACATAACCCTGGAGGAAGGGAGACCAAGGCGGAGGACGGCGGGCGCACGCACATGCACGCTCACGGGAGCTGGGGTCGGGGTGTGGGGGTGCGGGGTGGGGAAAGATGCAGCAATGCCCCAGAGGCCCACTGGGGACGGCTGGGAAGCCGTGGAGCAAATACGTTGTCCATGTTGCCGCACCGTGTCTACTGCACACGAGCCTCCATTAGGCGATGTGACTCGCCTCTGCCCCTGCTGGTCCGTGGCCCCTGGGGGAGTTCTGTGTCCCCGAAACACTCAGTACACAAAGGCATGTTTGGGGGGGGATGGGTAAAAAAAAAAAGTCTTGGAGTCTTGGAGAGCTTGGGGTGGTGGCTTTGGTGCCTAAGGACGCATCTGTACTCGGGGGCTGGCACAGGATGCTGCCCCGAAGGCCGCTTCCAGGTCAGAGCCAGTGGGCAAAAGCACCAACACTCCTATGAGAACATCTGTGAACCCCTTTCTTGAGGAAGGCCGATTTCTGAGCACAACTCCCTCCATGTAAAGGGAAGATGAATACGGAAGCAAAGTAAAAGCATAATCAAAAGCACCACTGGGACATTCCACTACAATGAACCTGGACCTGATACTGCTCACTGAATGAACCACGTGCTTCAAATGCAAACGGGGCTGTCAGAAATGTCTCCTCCTCGGTCCTTCAGGGACCTGCTGGCTGTTCGGAAGTCACTGACAATCACCACCTATGCTGGCTGCTTCCTACAGGCCAGGAAAGACTCTCTTGCCTTTGGTCACAGCATCCCAGCAGGGATGCACAAACTGCCCACAAGCACATTCTCAGTTAGGACATCTCGAGCTTGGGGGAGGCAAGAAGTGAGATTCCCCACGGTGGCTGGTAGTTAGGACAGGGCAGGGAAAGAAAGCTTTTTGTATTTGTTCCTCTATTAGAAAGTATCTCGGTCTGCCGGGATAAATCACCACCGGGAGGAATGCATTTTGGACAAGGGCTGATCTACTAGGCCTGCGGATGTTGGCCATTCTCACGTCACTGCCAAGCTTGTGTCTGCAAAGTTGCAACTTTCTATCAAGAAGAGAGATTTAGATCAGGACTGAATGCCTAGTCTGCAGCTAGCCAAGGAATGACAGTGAACACATAGTTGGAGGCAAATGTGTATTTTCTTCCACAGCACTCAAAACATTTTTTTAACACCCAAACAATTTTTAATGCTGACAGCATTCCCACCCATTTCTGACATCAAAGAAGTGACTGCATGGTTACGTTACTGCATTTGACTATAAAGGAGCTGTGTGAAGCAGTTGGGGGTTCTTGTCAGTCCCAGGCTCCCCAGGGTGGCAAGATGCACAGGGCAGCGCTGGGCTGACCCAGGCTAGGACTGCACCACAGAACTTGCGCCATATCTGCTGGTGCGGCAGGGGCTGCCTTTCTAGGGTATGTCCTCATCTGCATTTACCCATGTTAAAATGGAAGCTTCTAGAAAGGAGAGCTGTGTCCTTCACTTAGCAAACCTATGCACTGACACCAGGGACTCAAAATAATGACTGTATGCGCTGGTTCATTCTGTTAGGTAGATTGTTTCACTTTCTCCCTTAACCTCTCTCTGTAGACCTAGTGGGTTTGTTCATGGGTGCGCAAAGTCTTTGATTCTCTCATCATTACTCAAAGCACAATTGCTGGCATTCAGCAAACAGGGCTCAGCATCCTGAACCCAAGTTCATTACCGGACCTTTCTCCTAAGAGGTTAAGTGCAGAATCAGCTTCTCAGGAAGCTCGAGGACAGTGTGACCTCAGCAAAGGATAATCTGTCTGCTCCCTAGTAAAAAGAACCAATTCTCCAGGGCTACCTTTGATCCTAACTATAAACAGACCAGGAAGAGAAAGGTCCTGTGGTCATGGGAAAACCCACTTGCCGGCGCCTTTGGTGAGTTAATGAACTACCCTGCATCGGGGTCCGGGAAGCTGCTCTGTAAACAGGTTTTACCTGCAGTTGTTCAAGGAGGTCAAGGTTCTGTTTGCGTAAGCTGCTGTTGGTTTTCTCTAATTTGTCCATTCTTTGGTTGTCACTGAGAGGAGAAGAATCGATAAGTTCTTCTTGAAGCACATGGTACTCAACTTCATAAGCTTGTAACTGTTTAGAGATGTCCATCTCAAACACCTGTTAGACAGAGGGTCATCATCAAGGAATGAAAATGAGGAAAATCTCTCTCACTCGCTCTCTCACACCCACACCCACACACACCCACACACACACGACTATGTCATCGGGCAGCCGGCTGGGATTGTTAGTGATAAGTAAGGCAGTGATGATTTCTCTATACTGAGAAGTTCTACCCGGGATGAAAGGACAGCAGAAGCGCTTAAAAATAAGACTAAAATAACAATAAGTGTGGGTCCCGATACTCATTTTCTAACAGGCATAATTTTATTTTCAAAAAGGTTTATGAAAATGTATGCTTAGTTCCTATTTTAGTACTTATTTCCTTCTTCTCTGAAAGACCTACTAGGTTAGACAAGTATGGGTGAGAGGGAGAAAGAAACCTAACAGAAGGCTCAGAGCCCGACTCGCCCAGTCACCGAGTCAAAGTTTAATCACAGTTCAGTTGGGTTTTGAGAGTTACAAGAACAGCTAAGTAATGGAACTGTTTACTATAAAACCCTCCTTTGCACACAAGATATGCAGAAATGAGCCAAAAACCCAAATGTCACCCACACAGATGAGTGAATACGAAACAATAGTTGGGTTGCCTGACTCCCTGTAATAGTTAATAGTGATGAAAAGAGCCGCTGTGTGAAAAACAACCCGGCCGGCACAGTGACTGGGCTGTTCTTGCTGTGCTTTCTCCCAGTGGGTGAATCTGGTGGACGCAGGCCTGGGAGGGAGCCCAAGGCGAGCCTGTGGCTCTCTGCAGAGTGACACCCCAACCTGGATCTTCCAGGTAGGGTCATGAGTGAGGATTCAGCTCCTACATAAAGCTGGAACATTTAGAAAAGGAAGCTAGATTTCACAGGAGCAGAAACTGACTTGTCACTGCTATGGCCATAAGAAACTCCAAAGGAGTTAACAGCAATGAAAAGCTTGCTTCCCCGGAGGGTCCCCTATCAGCACTCGCAAATGGGGGAGTCCGTCTTCCCTGGAATCAGTTTTCAAAACCCATGTGTACTTTCTGACCATTCTCAGCAACACTATTGTCTCTCCCCATGATTAATTTTTCAGCTTCCTGGTTTTCCACTAATTAGGCACACAAGTCATTCTCTGTCTGAGAATGAACGCACACTGTTGCTGAGGGTGGGTGAGCAGTTACAGTATTGATCTAATACTGTGTGGGCCCAGAGTGACCAGAGGTCAGCAGAGGGTGTTATCTCTATTTTACAGTTGAGGAAACGGACTCGGAGGCTTGGAGTCTACGCTCCAGTCAGCCTCCACTGGAGACTCGCCGCCTGACCTTGAACAAGGTGCCTGACCTCCCCTAGCCTCAGTGCCTGGTCTCTAATAAAGGGGATTACATTTACCTCCCAGCATGGCCGAGAATACACGAGACAACTCTGGGAAGTTTCCATACAGCCAAGGAGTCTAATTCCACAACCTGGTCAGGGAGCTGTCACATTCAACCTTGTGCTTCAGCAAAATTACAAAGGATGCCAACACCATGGACCTTCCGGAAAGCTCAGGGCGAAAGCCACATGCATTAAACCCTGGATCACTGCAGAACACGTGTGTAATGATAAATGCGGTGCAGGATACAGGTCACACACAGAGTTCACTTTTTTTTTCTCCCACAAAGATTTATTTCCAAAAGCGCTTCGAACCTGGAGAACCTGCGCATAAAACCTCCGGCCTTTGACACAGATTGATGATCTGCGCTAAGGTTAACAGCTCTCAGCTGTACCCAAAGCTGCTCACGCTTTTTTCCGGGCCCCGATTAATCCCGAGGGGCAGTCCTGGAGCGTGACTATCTCAGCTTAATTGCATCATTTCCTCCTGATGCCAAAATACTCGCAGTCTGATTTTGCAGTTATGCCACGGAATTTATCCCAAACCATGGCAGTATGCGGCTGGCCCTTGTGCAATGCCTTTTCAAGTTACTATATATTCTTCAAAAACCATAACCGTATGTGTCTTCATGGTATTCTACCAAGTGGATGTGTAACCAGGTTAATACATTCATTAAGTGCTGGGTATCTTGTTACATGCAAATTTCTGTTATAAATGATGACTGTAAACATCCTGAACACATGGCTTTCCCCAAATTTTGGATTATTTCCTAAAGATACATTCCAAGAAATGGGATTACTAAGTCAAGGGGTCTGAATATTTTATTGGCTGGTGATATGCATTGCAAGTTGCTTCCCAAATGGGAATAATCGACGTGCAATGCCATCAGCAACACACCACTGTTTCCAGACACAGTCTATCCTTGACACTGGGTACTGGCATTAACAATTTTCATTTTGTTAAGCTATTAGGTAAAGCATGATATGTTATTTAAATTATGCATGAAGCTCAATATTTTCCCAGACATTTGTTTATAGAAGGACCTCCTCCCTCAGTGGGTTGTTTGTTTACGTTCTTGGCTACAGGCCGCCCTGTGTCTCTGCAGTCTGTGGATGCTGGAAAATGAAGCCACTGACTCTGAGGTCTGTGCAACTGGCCACAAGCTTTCCACCTCCCCCGCCCCCAACCTGCCCCCACCCATTGGTCTTAGTGGCATACCAAGGGCTGCAGAGTGGGGTGTATGCCCTGGGGATTGACAATAAGGGGCGCAGTGTCTGCAGTGAATTTAAAAACAATAATAAACTCAGCTGAAGTAGGTCTGCTTTTTATTATCACCACATGTGAGTAATTCTAAACAACAACGTGGTAAAATACTCCTCTCGACAGCACAGACTGGCCTTTAACAAAAAAAAAACAAAACAAAAAAAACAAAACCACTCGTCTTTAACAGTGCAAACTGCCCAAGCAGCAAGGGCCCCTCCCAGGGGCCGAGAGGGGCCCTGCACTGTGATTTTAGGGCATCAATGGGCGAAAAAACCTTGTTAAGATTCTGATTTCCATCTTACCAGCCCAACTGGAACAGGGAATTATCTAGTGTGTTTATAGCAAAGTGGCCCACAGGGGAACTTCTCAAGTGTTCGCATGTGTGTGAACACCCCGGGGATCTTGGTAAAATGCAGGCTCTGACTCAGCACATCCAGACTGGGGGTCCAGACTGCACTTCTAACGGGGCCATTTTCTAACATGCCACCTGGTGGGGGGCTGGAACACCTGCAGGGTGGGAGCCACACTTTGACCAAAGCCCAGAGGCTGTGGCAAGTGGGGTGCTTGTCTCCCCAAGCTCCTTCCTTCTGTTTCCCTCTTTTCCTTGCATGCACGGTGGCAGGAGTAAGGCCCTGACTGTCTTTTCTCCACGCAGGATACCCCCACTCTTGGCTCAAAGACACTTTACGGCTGATATTCAACGCACAGTCAAGTCGCCTTGAGGTATCAGAGACCTTTGTCCTCCTGCCCAGGACTGTGTGGCTGTTGCTGGTCTGGCCACCTAGGGCCAGCGCTCTGGAGGCTGGTCCTGAGCGACTTTCTGTTGGGGGTGCAGACGAGGGCCCGGCTGTTCAAACGAAGGCCGCCCATAAGAGGGACAACTGTGGGGACACTCAGACCCCACAATCCACACCTGGTCATGTGCAGGAAGGGACCCGTCACTGCTGTTCTGTGGGCCTCCAGGCCCCATGCCCAGGGGTTCTCTAAGGTTGCAGAGGAATTGCACGGCACCTTGAGGCACGTGTGGGCAGGCTTTGGTTCAGATAAGTAACGACGGCTGCTGTTTGCCCCAGCGGCTACAGAATGTAGGTGTATGTGACGAGAGCTAAAGGAGGGAATGAGTACGTGTAGATGCCGGAAATCAAGAGCCAAAAGGACAGAGGATTCAGTACTAATACCCAGGTAAAATAGGGCAAACTGTGATGACATGACCTCCAGAGGCACTTGGTGGTAATGCACAGCTGCTCTTGAGCAAAAGGACAGAGCTGGAAACCCCACCTACCCCCACTCTGCAGCAGGGACACTGCAGGCCAGCTGACGTCTTTCAGCTCCTGGTTCCTCATGGGTTAAAAGCACCTGTCCTCTCTGGAAAGAAGTCGTGAGACTCCCACAGAGCCTGGCAAGCAGTAGGGTCAATGAACCCAAGCTCTTCCCATGGGAGGGCGATGCAGGAAGTAAAATAAGAGATGCACAGCCCATCAGTTAGCCCAGTGACCAAGATGCCCACGGCACGCTTTCACACAAGCACTCGAAATGTGCAGCATGCAAATAAAACTGAGGATGAAACCCTCTCCAGACCCGACCAGGCCAGATCTGCTCCTAGTTCTGCGTTCAACACCCCAGGCGGGCAGCAAACGAGATCACAAATGCGGCATCTGGATGCAATCCACCTGACTGCTCTTGGAGGATCAGAAATCTTTAGAATAAAGATCTGTGTCTTAAAAAAAATAACGCGTTCTTTATTCTGCTGGTTTAGTAACCGCCCCTTTTTAGTGAGCAATCACTTCCTTTTACGGAATCAAAGCCTGTTCCCACCCCTAAGCCAGACGATTTAACAACTAACTGGTCTCCTTGTAACTCCTGGGTCAATTCCCCCAACAGCCCGTTTCAGAGGAATGGGTCGACTGTACACACAAGCCAGAGGTGCGGAAACCATAGATGTGGAGCTCAATTCTATCTGAAAAAATTCACGAGACCAATTTGTGGGTTAGGATAGCACCTCTCTATCACCATTAAGCAAAGAATGGCTTGTAGGAAATGCCAGTTAATACCATTCAGCAGAAAAATCAAAACACTCATTTTCCAAAAGCTGATCTTTCAGAACACACCCTCGGAGGAAAGTCTCTTTGTTACAAGAAACCGGAGTCTGTGCCGGTCAGCACGGCGGGACGTGACTTCGTTGTTGCCTCCAGCCTCTCAGCACCACCACACATGCACACGCTCAGACCTCAGACATGCACTGAACCATGGAACACATTGACTTGCCATGTGCCTCCTGCAGCCCAGCAGGAAATAGGTCTTACACGGAGAAAAAAAAAAAAGTGTCTACACATCCAGGGTCACTTTGGCCTCTGGAAAATTCCGGCTGAGCCATACCTGACTGATGGTCTTTTCCATCTGCACCAGGCCCAGGTTGGGTAGTGTGCTTTTTATAAAGTCAACTATGGTTTCTAGGTTTTCGTGTTGCAGAATCAAGGGCTTATGGCTCCCCAACAGACTTAAAGCCACTTTAAATATGACCTCTGATCCCTGAAGAAAGATCATATCTGGGAAAACACAGAAAAGCAGAAAGTTAAAACCAAACCAGTCTCTGATGAAATCCTATCCCCCCCCTTCCTTTTCCACACATCATCGGGCAGGGTGGTGGGAAACCCAGCCTCAATGGCAAAGCTGAGTTCCTTTGAAAGAGCCTGGTATTTGGGGTTATAAGACAGTGTCATGAGCACTGAAAGAAAGGTTAAAAAAAAAATTAAAAAATTAAGGTTTTCTTTTTGTCTGATTCGAATAAATCATTTTACTGCTCAGGAAAGTTATTAAATTCAAATAGGCTCAAAGGTGAAATTGAGGGAAAAAATAGCTTTTTTTATCAGGAATGCTCTGGATTTAGTAAAAGAGTTATTACTAAAACATGTTTTAACGAGTAAAACCGAGAGTTCTACATGGCATCAGAAATTAAAAATGCCTGTTTCCTCTGGAAAAGAGGTCGAATTATAAGTTGTCTAAAGATCGTAAGAAAGTCTACACCATTGCAAAATACAGTACAAAATACAAGCATAGTGAATTTTAGCACAGTGATGATGGAGTAAAACTCATAGTTCCTGCGAAGGCATCAAAAAACCCTCATCAGAGTCATTTCAAGTTCTTGATTTTTCTTTTTCTTTTTAGACTAGCAAATGCTAGTGATCCCCGCCCCAGTTTCCACAGTGAGGAGACCCACCGGCCTCGGCGCCTTCATCACAGAGCTGCAGTCACCTGAGAAGAGGAATCAGGAGCTGCTGAGGGGCTGCAATAACAGCAGCTATAATAGCAGCATAAAAACAAACAAACATGTAATTTTAAAAATGAGAACAGGAGTCTAATTAGAGGCAAATTTTTCTTTGTCCCGCTCTTCTTTTTAGCAGTAGGCTAATGGAAAAGACAAAGTTGTACCTTTCATTTCGATCAAGGGAGACAGAAACAGTGAGAGGAAGACGCCCAGACGGAGCCTCTTAGAGACACGACATGTAAATGCCTCTAGAGACAGGAAGGCAGGGCTGGGAGCTCCTGGACACAGGAGAAAGGTGTGAGTCAGGGCGCGGGCCTGACCCAGGTCTGCAGGTGCCACCTCACGGAGGCCTTTACCTGGCCAGGTGCGAGGGGTGGGGGGTGGGGGGGTGCGGCTCTAGGCTGCAGGGATCAGCCAACCCAGAGAGTGTTGGGCCCTCACTGTCCACAAACCCCACAGCTGCTGGGGAAGAGGGAGCCCCCCCCCCCCTTCGTCCTGCGGTAGAGGCTGGGAAGAGAAACGAGAGAACGGTATCTCTGAAAAATTTGTGCTAGTTAGGGGAAAGCATGATCTGTATCCAGGCAGGAATATGAAAGAATATTCCTGCGAAAGGCTGGCTTCATACAGTATAGTCTAACCAAAGGATTCACCGCTGCAGAAAATTAAAAGATCTAAAATAGCGCTAAAACTAAGATCTAAAATAGCGCTAAAACTAAGCTGTGTTTTTAAACAGAAATGACATCTCCAAAAAGAAGATATTTCGAATTTCTGTGGTTCATACAGTAAGACTTCTGTAAGTATATGACTACTTACAGCAGAACAGAAACTGGTGGCGTCTATCGGAATAGAAAGAGACTTTGCTCAGGGATCTTAAAACCCACAGACGAGCTCTAGCTCACTACCTTTAGTCTTAAAACTAGGTACAGAACTGCCCCTAGGTCAACTAGGGGGGACGTTCCTGAGCATAATCAAACATGCACCCCACGTCAGCAGTCGCTTTAGTAACAGGTCTTCCAAGTTTTATTCCTTTAGGAATTATAAAGCGACTTCCTGTGGCTGTTCTTTTGTTTTTAACTTATTTTGTACGTTAAAAACAAAACAAAAACAGAACCCTGGAAATGTATTATTTCATGAAGTCTGCTTGCAGTTAATATAATAAAAAAGAAATTCTCTCTGCTAATGCTCTTCTCAACACTTCAGGAGCATTCTTATGTGCTCAGAGCTGCTCTAAGATAGCAAACATTTGCTAAATATCTGGTACATCCCAGGCACTGTACTGGGCACTAAGCTATGAGTAAAGCATGAAGAATGGCAGAGATAAGAGAAGAAAGAAGTCCAGGGCAGCGTGACAGCCGAACCCAGTCTCGAGGAACCAACAGAAAACTGCAGAGTACGAAGACAGGGAATAACAGCACTGGGCAAAGGGGAGAAAGGTCAAACGCAGAGAAGGGGGAAGGAGCTGTCTTCTGCGCAGGAGCCCAAGAAGTCTGTGGGCGCGAGCTCTGCTCTGTGCAGCAAAGCGCAGGCAGGTCACCACGGGCTTTTGCCTAGTTTTTACACCCAAGGGACTCCCGCTGGACTCCCCTGGATACTGCCTGGCACACCCTCCGCCACCAGGAAGCCCCTCACGCTCAGGCCTTCTGCACTACTGAGGCTGGAGAGCTTGGCCCAGAAGCTTCCCTCAGCGACGGGGAGGGTGCAGGGAGGAGGCAAGGACCCCCCTCAAGTAAGAAGTTCATCTGGGTGCACAGTGACCGGCTCTGCCTGAAGGCTGACGGAAGGATGCCTCAGAGCTGTGCTTGGAGGAAGGAAATTCTAAATTGATATGGCTACCCTGCAGGGCAACACCTATATCCTTTAAATGATGAGTACCTTTTCCTCTCTGGAAAATAAAAAAAGTTAAGGTGTTTTTTTTAGTAATAGTTATGAAAAATGAGTCTATCAGCCCACTGTCCCAATCCAGTTAGTTTCATTTTTGCTCCACTGTCCAAGCCTTTTACCTTTACATTCTGGAAATACAAACACACAGAGCCAAAAACAGCAATAATCTTGGAAGAGCAAACTCTCCCGCATTCAGCACTCACGGCACACAGTAAGTGCCCTGCTGAGCCCCCTGGCCCCCTGCACCCCCGCCCCCCAGCACTGTGACCAAGCTTCCTTTCTGCCTGGTCCCTTTCTTCTCCCCTTCTTTCAAGTCACCTAGAAACAGGCATAGGGTTTTATGAGGCCAGGAGTAGAGGGAATCTCACATTCAGCGGGCCCCCCCACTTTACAAATTATTTGCTGAGGGCAACACAAATAACTCCCTTCCTTTGAAGACACTTCAGCAGCTCTGTTACTGTGTTCACAGGCACTGGAACTCTATTTGAAACTCCCCATGATATAAAAGTGCCATTTTCCTATAGGGGAGCCGGGGGGAATGATGCACGCAAAACACACAGCCAGGAAGAGAACATCAATTTTTCTAAGCCTCCTCTGTCATCGTCAAGTGCAATCCTTCTCTTTAACTTGCTCTGTAAGGTGGTAATCTTCCAGGAGACACCCCACATTCCTACTGGGAATGGGCAGGTGGGAAATGAAGGCTGGGACACCCCTGCAGCAGAATAGCACAAACAGATTTTGCAAAAATTCACTTCATGGCCACTGTGTCATGTCATCTGAGGAGCCATGTCATCTGGCCATGTAAAAAAAAAATCTTGCTGGGCCCTCCCTGGTGGCGCAGCAGGTTAAAGCACAGCACTAAGAAGCTTAAGCCACTTCAGCATGAGTTCAGTTCCCGCCTGCCCCGGAGAAGACCCACATGGCGTGGCAGACCTCTCCTGACCCACCCGCTGCTCCCCTCAGCAGTGTACTTCGTCCATCTGCCTGTTCTGCTCCTCGCTCTGTCTGGTGAATCCTCTCACCCACCCCATCTCTAGCTTGTACCCCAGTTCTGATGAGTAAATATATAAAAATCTTTAATAAATAAATAAAATAAATTTAAAAAATTAAAAAAAAAATCTTGCTTTTCCAGTCTATTTTCATCCTAAAGCCTCCCTGACTTCTTGTCTGTATTACCAGTGGCTCTGTGATTTCTGCCAAACCCTTGATTTTGATACTCCACCTGCTTGCTCTGGGCCTCGCAGTGCACCCTATAGAAACATCCTCCTCATCAGGAGCAAGCCAGGTCCTGTGGTGCAGATTCTCTCCGCAAAGGGAGATGTGATCAGTGGGGCCCTCCTTGGTGATGCAACAGATTAAAGCCCAGCACTAAGAAGCTAACCACAGCCGCTTCAGTACAAGTTCGAAACCCGGCCAGGGAAGTGACCCACATGGCATGGCAGACCTCTCTCCTGTCTCCCCGCTGTTCCCCTCAGCGGTGTACTTCGTTGATCTGCCTGTTCTGCTCCCCACTCTGTCTCCTCCCCTCTGTGTCACCTCCCCACTCTGTTCTGCTTCCTACTCTGTCTCCTCTCACCGCCCCTGTGCCTCTGGCTTGTACCCCACTTCTGTATGCATAAATAAATAAATCTTTAAAAAAAAAAATAGAGCAAAGCAAGCATGTTCCCCCAGGAGTCCTCTGGACACCCAACTGGAAAACAGAGGAGGCCACTTCACATGATGTGACACCCAGACAGAATCAGGACATTCAGAAAACCGTGATTGCCAGGTGGAACTAAAGGCATGTACATTACTGGCCACCATCCCCAGGTGATGTCCTTCTGTCCTGTGTTGTTCTGCGACAACGTTGATGAGAAAAAAAAAAAATCCTGGCTTCCACTGAGCGAAATGGAGTTACTGGAGGACCTGCTTTCGTTACAGGTTGTTCCGCTTAAAGCCACAGCTTCCAAGAGCCTGTCGAGGATTCTGAGGCCTTACTGTGCTTGATTCCAGGAAGCTTAGGAATCAACATATGAGCGGTGCTGACTGTGAGCTAGGAGTCCTTTACTTGTCAATAAAATGGTGGATCGTTAACAAAGGTCCATTTGTTTGTAGGGCTTATCCAGGCCCACGGGCTTATAATGAAATGGGCTTTGGGCCAAAAAAAAGAGTCCAGTGTGTGAATGGCAGGCTTGATTGGAAACTTAGCTAGCCTGTCACGGAGCTACACTAGCATGGTTCAAGTCACCGATGGGAAATACAGAAATGGTTTAAGTGTGTCTTTCAGATAAAGCGTTCTATTAAAATGGTTTTAATGAAGTGGGTTGTGCAAAAAACCCCAACAGTTTTCATAAAATGACATCACAGCACAGTGCTGCCTTGCATTCCTACTTCCTTCCTGTATCTGACGAGCCCTTATGTCCTCGCCGGGCTGGACATGAACCCTCTTAGTACAGCAGGGGCTTGTCAGATGCCGGCATCTTCATGCATAAAGCAGGAGACAGTCCAAGACCCACCGCGGCTACACAACACAGAAAAATATGCTGCTTTTACCGGCTTTAGCTCTCGAGTTATGCAATCATTAAAACGAACTTCACAGAGTTCCAAATATCCTGCACCAGAGGGCCATCCTCTGCACAGCAGTATTGCTGTTCATGCCTCTCACCCACTTAGGGCACCTAAGGGAAGACTTTTTCCTAGAACTTTAGGGCCCTAGAGCTCCAGAACTATCTGTAGGCAGCCACTGCAGGTCCTTGGGGTAGGGGTGGGGTTGACATAGGGGTAGGGCTGGAATTGGGGTTGGGGTGGAGTTGGGGTGGGGTTCGGGTAGGGGTGGAGCTGGGGTGAGGGCGGGGCAGTAATGACTCAGCGCCCCCTGCATAAATCCCTTTGTAAAACCTTTTTTGACAGGGTGTGATGTGATGTTTGAACCATTTTCAAACCACTAACTGCACTCCTCCTTCCCTCTCAATCCACGCCTCTCCATTACCCAGTCTGAAAAATACAGCAGTCAGGAGAAAATATAAGGTGGGTTAATAGTCATCTTTTAATTCCCAAAGTAAGTTAAAAAAAAAAAACAAACAAGTTATTGATAAGAGGAAGTAGTGAAGTATAAAGCTAGAGGTAGTGTTTCTGTGACTCTTTTGTCAGTAAACTAAGCATCAATTTTTAGTGTTCTTGTTTTTTTTTTAAAAATTATGGTATAAAACTTACATGCAATCTCACTAATTTGTTTAGCCAATTTTCATTATGAATTATTTAAATGATTATATTTTAGGGCTTCTCTGATGGTGCAGGGGTTAAAGCACAGCACTATGAAGCTACTGCAGCCACTGCAGCCTGAGTTCGATCCCAGCCAGGGAGCTGACCCACATGGCGCAGCAGACCACTCCTGCCCTGCCCACCGCTCCCCTCAGCAGTGCATTTCAGTAGATCCACTTGTTCTGCTCCCCACTCTGTCTCTGGTGAACCGTCTCATCCCTGCACCTCTGGCCGGTACCCCAATTCTTCTATGCAAAAATAAGTAAATCTTTAAAAAAAAAAAGATTGTATTTTAGGGACAGAGAATAATCAATTCAAGGACACACATTATGTAAAAAGGAAATTAGTGAATATTTTAAGAACATGCATTCTCTGATAAGGTCAAATGGGACATTCTTTTCTGAGCATTCCTTTTAAGATGCTCCCCAGTCCTAAAAACAAATCTAAAGAGGTGCATGTTTGCAAGTTTTTAAGCTAAAGTGACCAAACAAAATGACACTTCGGAAGCACTGAAGCTTAATAATCTCCACAGTGAAAAACAACATAACGACTTGGATGTGGGCATGGTGTGGTAACACACACTTGCAGAAGTGTGAACTCTGCACCAAGCACAATGCTGTAAATCAACAGTAAGTATCATTTGAAATAAAGAACCTGAACTGTTCAGACTGTCACTTCATTTTGAAGTAGGGACAATGGCGCGGAGCTGACGGAGCTCAGGCCCTGCTCACCCTGGCACCCAGGCAGAGACACAGCCCCCAGGGCAGCTGGAGACCCCACCATGCACCTACACAGCCCAGACAGGCCCCTTAAAAAGAGGCGGCAGTGTAAACCAGCTACTGTGGGGGCCCAGGGGTGGGAGCGGAGGTGATGTCTGGGGAGAGGAGGCTGATGGGACGCACAAGCCCCCCCGGCTGGCGACAGACAACAGAAAGGGAGGGAGCAGGTGGGGGAGGAGCCGTGAAGGAAATGAGAAGGTGCGCGCTGGCAGCTGACAGGCCGCGGCTCGCAGCCGCACAGGCCAGAGCCTGTGTTGAGGACGATGACTCAGGGGCAACACGCCTGGGACACGGGTCCCAGCACCCCGGCCAGGGCTTCCAGACAGCTGCTCTCGGGAGGCCAGTGGTGAGGGACTCTGAGCTGAAGATCTAAATCCCACAAGCTGGAGGCATCTGAGGAAGCCCAGTGGTCACCAGACCTAAGACTTGAAAATTCACGTAAAACCCAACCCTGACTGAGCGTAGAATGTGATGGTGCCGAAGATACTGGTACAGAAAGAATCGCCTTGGAGCCACAAGAAGTGCTTCTCCTCTAGCATGACCACGCTGGTCTGGACACGTGCTTACCGAAGACTCTGGCCACGAACCCCAGGGGGAACTGAGAGGCAAACACAGTGAGAAACCAGGGGGCGGCGTAGAGGCTGGGGCCGATCTCGTGCTCCTCCAGGTGGTTGTAGAGGTCTCGGTGGTAGTCGTGAAGCAGCCGTGAGAGCTGGTACATCTGGATCTGCAGGGACACAAGTCAGAATTAGATAGCTGCGGGTCTGCTAACCCTAAGTGGCCCATCCAGCCTCCATTTTGTTACCTGCAGCTCTGTATTCCTAAAGCAAGGTCAGAAGTGCCTGGTCATAGGAGCCCAACCCTACAAGGAGCCTTTCACATCAATCAAGAGCATAAAGCTAGATCACCCTGGGGAGGGTCTGCATCACGAGGCGTGACCGGGAAGACCCGGAGGGGCTGATGATGGAGGCACAAACTTACTCCTGTCTTATACATCAGGTGATATGCCCTGCAACGCCCCGGAGGCCGTTGACCAAAATATAGCAAAGGACCCCAGAACGCTTGATAAGACTGAAAGCCTGACTCGGGAGGTAGGGCTTGATCTCAAGTATCAATAAAAAGGCCATTGTCTTGCTCTAGAGCAGCATCCTGCACTATGTGGTCTGCTCCACACTCCCATTTCTTTATCAGTGTGGTGTTGCCCGATGCAACAGACCACCCCTGCAGGGATCAGTGACCTGTCCCACTCATATGGATGGGGAAGAGGTATTGGAACCTCAAACCTTCTGTGTGGCCATGGTACCCAGCGGTCACTATCTGTCTCTCCAACAGGAGCTTCCTAGGTGTCTGCTGGAGGTAGGTGTGGGTCCAGCGCACTGATGCTGAGCTCCCATTACTTCACTTTCACTGCCCCCTGTGGTCCTTGGTTAAGAGAACCTAAATATGACTTCTCGTAAAATCCTTACCAATACACAATCTTAGCAAAAGGTAAACCCAGGGGAATTAGCAATAGAAAGCCAAGCTCTCTGCTAAGAATGGGTCGGGCGGGGCACAGCAGGATTCTGCAAAAGGATGCTACTATGGCTAGTCACAGTTAATTCCCTCTGGGCTGCCAAATTACTCAATAGGCAAGACAAGCGTCCCAGGGCCAGATGACAGAGTTTCCTCCAGTACCAGCTGAAGCTCTCTGTGTCGAAAAGACTGTATCAGCAAGATCAGCAGCCTCCCTCCCACCCCCCAAGAATCATGTAACACATGTAATCATATAATACCAAATCTTACAAAATTCAGAAGCTTCTGGTCTGGGATGGCAGCTGAGACTAAACTAAAGCTAATGAACGGAGAAGATGGAAACCCTGACAGTGTGTGTGCAAAGATACCAAGATACTGTGATTTCAGAGCCTTAGAGAACCACTTTGCACACACAGTGGTTCTCTAAGGCTCTGCAATCACAGTATCTTGGTGGTAGACGCATAAACATGTGCTCCTCCATCTGGGAACTTTCCTGAAGCAGGATCCAGAGCTCTCCCACTTCCCTGCCCAGCAGCACTTGGTACTCGCTGCTGTGCCTGGTTTTCTTATACGACCGGCCACTCCCTCACCCAACTACTTCATCCCAAGCACCTTGGAACTAGGGGCGCAGCTGCCCCCTCCAGGGTGTGCGAAGGAAAGTCAGATGAATAAGGGCCATGGTAATTCCAGGCGGTTGGTGCGTTACGCAAATGAGGCAGGGTAACGTGATGTAGCTGGGAGCGCGCGCGGGAGCACATGACATGAGGGTGGCCAGGAGGAGCTTCTCCTGGGTGTGGCATTTGAGTTGAAGCCCACAGGACAAGGGTCGAAGGGGAGGCGTGGAGGTGGCAGCCCCTGGCAGATGAAGCAGTAAATACAACGGGGAGGTTGGAATTTGGTTGCCTGAAGACAGTTTTCCCAGCTTGGCCACTTGTTAGCTGTGTGACCTGGGCAAATTACATAACCTCTCTGAGCCTCAGTTTTCCCACCTAGAAATGGAGCCGACTGATAGATCTTCCCAAGGATTACAGGGCAGACCAGTACCTGTGAAACATTTGGCATAAAGCCTAGTGCAGAATAAGTTCTCAGCAGTGACTGCTATTGCAAAGTCAGCTGATGTCAAAGAAGTTCCTTAACTGGACCTGGAAGGGATCATGGCTTCTATCAAAACCTAAGGCACGCACTCTACCTGTAAAATAATCATGTCCGGCCGGTACTGTTTGCGCAATCCCATGTCAAACATCAGAAACTTGAGCATGTGAAACGCCTCTTCCTCGCCCATATGAAGTAGCAAAATGCCTGCTACGAAGCTGAGGCCTTGGCAGTACCCCACTTCCTGATCCAGCAGTGAGTAGGCCTTCAAAATGTTGTACAGCGACAGCTGCCCGGCGCCCAGCTGGGCAGAGAAGTACGGATGCGTGGGGAAGGTCCGCCCTGGGGAAGCAAGACACGCGAGTCGTTACTAAAAAAAAGAAAGCCTGGCCCTCCCTGGTGGTGCAACAGGTTAGGACGCAGCACTGCAAGCTGGCCACAGCTGCTTCAGTGTGAGTTCGATCCCCGCCCCGGAGGTGACTACATGGTGTGGCAGACCTCTCGCTGACTGACCTGCTGCTCCCCTCAGCAGTGTACTTCATCGATCTGCCTGTTCTGCTCCCCACTCTGTCTCTGGTGAATCCTCTCATTGCCCCTGCACCTGTACCCCAGTTCTGTATGCATAGACAAATCTTTAACCAAAAAAAAAAAAAAAAAAAAAAGCCGATTGAGCCAGCAACCCAGTGTGCTTCAGGCTACAGCAACAGATTTTTCCCCCATTTAAAAAAAAAATAATATAATAGTTTATTTTAACATCGTTGTGTGCCTTTTTCCATCTCAGTTGTCATCCCCGTCGGCTTCCCATCACCAAATCACCCGTGTGCCATCACCATAGTCCAGTGCATTTCGCCCCCTCCCCCGTTTTTGATCCCATCCCCCACTCCACCCCCCGTAAAATGTGTCTTTGGTATACAGTTCTGCAACAACAGATTTTTAGAAGCCGGATCGTCTCAGAAGCCAGCCCCTAACGCTACACTGGGCTCTGTGAACAGCAGCTGCCCGCTCCCTGCTCCACCCAAGCTGGAAATCCTAGGTCAGCAATTATTCACATTTTCTGTGGCGGCCCAGGTGAGAAAAATTAGAGCTACCTTTGAAATCCTGTAATCCAAAGGACCCATCTAGAACAGAAAACTCATCCACGGAGAGAGCGGGCAATCTCGTCTTCTCTCCCGCTCTCTGGGCAGGGCGCGTGGGTGACGCAGGGACACGTGTGAGCTGTGGGGGCAGGGACGCACGCATGTGTGCTCCAGGCATGCGGACCCGGGGAGGGGTCTCTACGCCCACAGGTGGGCGCGGGCTGGGTTCCATCCGGCTCCTGCCTGTTTCTCTGCCCAGCTCAGTCTACCTGAATTTCGGCCTCCAAGTGCAGCAGCTGCGTGCACTCGTGTGCTGGGCTCCAGGGGGCCTCATGTCCGTCCTCCCTGTGGACCTGCCCCGGGCACACCTGCACACGTGTGTACCTGCACACGTGGGTACCGCTTGCCACAGTGAGGAGCACAGGACTCCAGATCAGACAGGCGTGGCATCCCCGCCCAGTTCCAGTGAGCTACCTTTGCTAAAGGAACTTCCCCATCTGTGACATGGGATTGGAACGGCCTCTGCCACAGAGAACTTGGCGGGGAGACGAGAACAAGGATGCAAAGTGCCAGGCAGTGCTCAACATGCCGGGCTGCTCCAGGAAGCGGAGGCCTGGGCCGGCGGCCACTATTGTTGGTGTCAATGCCATCTCTGTTCTTTCTTCTAGAAGAGGATTTGCTCGCTATTTCACAGAGAACGCTGGGTACCGAGGTGCGGTTCCCTCACCAGCCCCCTCAAAGCCCCCTCACATCATCCCACACGGAAACAAGAGCTGGCCCTAACTGGCCAGCTACCTGCACGCTCACTGTTTCTCACTGAACTCTCGCCATGTTCCTAAGAGGGTGAGCCTGGCAGGCTGGGGAGTGACCTCGGCCAAGCTGGACACTCAGCAGGTGACCATTTTAGGGCCAGGGCCCTGCTGGGTATGTGCCCTGTGCAGTCCCGCTGGCCCTGTGCCCAGAAGGCCTAGTGCTGGTGTCATACGTGGCCGTGGCTCGTTAGGACTCCTACTACTCGAATAAGAAGGTCTGCAGTTTCAGTCTGTGACAACAGGCCCTGCAGATGCCATGTCCTGTTTGGGGAGACAGCCCCCAGGGTGGCTTCCAGGGGCGGTGACAGCCACCTTGCCCAGAGGTGTGTGAACACCAACCACAAGCCAAATCGCACCACGTACATGACATTTACTAACAAAGTGACACGACAATGGAACCACGTAAGTTCTCTTCCTGCTGGGTCCTCGGGCCTTTGGCAAGCCCCACCGAGGGGAGGTTTCGGTGGGAGGCGCAGTGGCAGTCTGGTGGCAGAGTCAGCCACAGAGACACGGCCTGGAGCGGGGGCCACATTGCTCAGTGGCCTTGAGCAGACACCCATGGGCTCAGCCCGCTAGCGAAATCCTTTGCTTACACACCCTGGGAGCCCCCCACCTGCTGTCCCGATGCTCTGCCCGGACCTGCTGGCCAAGCCCAGGTGGCCCTGCTCCCGGCATGCTCCCTGCTCTGCCTTGCTCTGCCTCCGCCGGCAGGGTCAGCTCAAGACCTCCTTCCTTCAGGCCTCCATGGGGTCCTCTCTCTCTTTTCCAACTATCTACCTGCGCAAGGTCAGACTTCATACTCACAACAGACTGCAGGAGCAGACACGAGAACCCTGTTTACTAAGCCAGGTGTTAAAGAAACCAGTAAAACTGTCAAACGGTGCCTGCCCTCACAGCACTGCCCAATTCTACGGCCAGCGACACTCAGTCGGACCTTAACAGCAGCCGAGGTGGGCGTTATTTCCACCTCTGCAACCTGCAACTGCTCACGTCAAGCTTCTTTTGAGGGGCTGGGGGAGCTGGGTGTTAAACACTTGCCACACACCACTGATGGGCCTGGATGACACAGGACGAGCTCAGGCTCTGCAAGGACATGCTGTTGTCGTGGTGCCACCCACACGCAGTCACAGCAGGCTGAGGTTAGCGCGCTTCCTCCAAGTGATCGCATAAGTGCGATTTCATGAGGTGGTTTTGTGAGCACCAGGGACGGCGGCAGACCCTCTGGGATAATGTGGAGCTGTGGGCATGAGTGTCCATGAGACCTGCACTGTGACCTCCACAGAGCAGGGGCCCCCAGCTGGACAGACAAGTGCGTGACGTCAGAGGACGGCTCAATGACAGAGTCGAAGGCTTTGCTTTCCCTTGCAGTCACTTGCTTTTCAGTGTTTTCAGCACAAAGATGAACAGAAAGCGGCGCTGGCCACCGGCTCCCTCTGCCGCTAACAGCACCCACCCGGTCGAACCTGGGGGTGGACAAGCTCGGCTCTACATCGAGGCCCAGAGAAGCACGCTACCAGCAGGGGGAGGGGGAAGGGTATGCTCCTCTGCCCCCCTATATTTAGCCATCGTAAACACCTGAGTTGATCCCTCATTTTGAATCCGTGCTCTTCATCTTTAATGGATTCGAAAAAAGCAAGGAGAAAGTTCTCTTTTGTTGCACTTAAGATTAGAGATCGTTTTCTTTTGAAGACCATGCAGGTTTTATACCTTTGGTTAAATGTGTTGCGTGGAAGCTCCCACACTAGACTCTTGATGCCAATGTCTTTGCATAACTGCTCTCCCTGCTGGGAGCCCATCCATTGAAAAATGCCACTCTGGTCACCATTCACCAGACCTCCGCGGGACCTATAAGCCATGCCACCAGTTTATTGTCCATAAAACGCCGACCGGTTAAACATAGAATTCAATGTGGGCGTCCAGCCAGAAATGCTTCTAGCATGGGAGAGGTTAGACAGCCTCACTAGTGGGAGCTCTGGCGCCTGGGCTGCCAGGCTGGGTGCCAGAGAGGAGTGACGCAAGTGACAGAATGTGGAGGGATGACATGACCTCTGAAGGGGCCCCGGCGGGCGCCTTGGTGTCACCAGCAGCCTTCAGTGAGGCCATGACCACAGCAGGGGCCCCGGTGAAAGGCAGGGCATTTGGCAATGCATGATGTCCACCGGAACAGAGAGAGGAGAAAGTCAATCACCGAGGGCTGCACGTAAGAAGTAGCTGGAAGCATCGTACAGGATGGGAGGTCTCAAGAATGATTTGCGAGGTGTCATCTGCTAACTGACAGAAGCAGTTTTCTCCTGGTTGGGTGTAGTCAAGTCTGATGGGGCACTACTCCCCCTGGCTAGTCGGGAGGGCGTGAACACAGCCAGTGGAGAAACAGCACTGTGTCCCAGCAAGGAGATGATCGAGACTACGGAGATAGAGGTTCTAGGACTCTGTGCCACAGGGGCGCCTTGGGCAAGGCCCTCGGCCTCCCTGGACCTCACTGCTCCCCTCTAAAGGGAACAGCCTGTGTCAAATTTTGTACAGGGTTGTGTAATACAAAGACTGCTATCCTTACTCCTTGGAAGAAAACATCTTATAGAACGTGATTAGCCCAACATCTAATTTTGGAAAGTTAAGCAAGAAGTAGGAAAAGAAAAACTCGTAAAACCCCAAAATAGATCCGACAAACAGTCTGTCTGTCTGGCCGAGATATGGATGTCACTTTTCAAGAAAAACTGAAACACTGGCTTGTCTGTACTCAGCAGGACACACCTTTATTGGGCCTTGACTTAGTCCCAGTGTGGACTTTAATAAAGACAAAGTGAGACTAAACAACGAACTTGGCACATATTACCTCTCGGTGAGAGGCAAAGGGGAAGCAATGGGCTGAGTCTGGACGCACTTCCGAAGGCGGCACCCTGGGCCTCGCCAGAGCGGAGCCTGGCCAGTAGCGCGCCGAGTCCATGGCCAGCTCTGAGCCAATTGATGGGGAGCAAAAGCGGTCCCCACAGGGCCCCTGGACAGAGACAAGAGAAACTTCTTGGGAAATGCACTGCCGGAAGCTGAGACTCTTTGAGGCCCTGGGAGAGCATTCGGTGGGTACCCAAACACAGGCCAGGCCTGACCTGGCAAAGAAGTGACCTGGGGAGGGCACAGCACTGTCAGGAAGGGGGCCGTAGCCGGCCTTTCCAGAGCGGGCAGGGATAGGCAGGTCAGAGAAGGCGCGGGCGCAGCCTGGCCCTGCCGGTGAAGGAGAGAAGCGTGTGTCCTGACTCACATGCCACGCGCCATGCAGAGGGAAGGTCCTGGTGGGACAGGCCACTGAGGAGAGCCCCGAGGCCCTATGCTGCTCTGGCCCCTCAACCCCACCCCCCACAGAAAGGGGGTTTCATCTGAGCAACAGGAGACAGAGGGCCCCCCTGCCTGTGGATAGATGCAGGCGAGGAGGAACATTAGGAGAGAAGAGCATTTGAATCGAGGAGGAAAAAACTCATCCCCTTCCTCTCCTCCCATCTGGGGAGGGCGGGGAGTAGAGAAACTGTCTGTCCTCCCTCCCTTTCAACCTCCTACTCCAAATTTATTTTTCACTTCATCTCACATGATAGGAACATGATGTCACTTTTTCTGTTACTCACCACATTAACAAACACAGCTACTGCCCGTTCGCCAAACTGCAGTACATGGGGTCAGTGGGCCAAATGGGCTCCCGCCCCGGGCCTTGCACTCTGCCTCCAAGGTGTGGTCACGGCAGGGCCACACCACCCTTCGCCCAGATCCCACTGCCATTGGGACACATGGGCCCCTGGGCTCAGAGGGCTGCAAGGGGGTGGGGGCGGGAGGTGGTGTTCACTGAAGAGCAGAACCATGAGAGGTTCAGGTCACCACATGACCTGGTCAGGATACACTGCTGTGCCTCGGTTTCCCCAATCTTTTTTTTTTAATTTTATTTATTTATGCATCCATAGGGTGTAGGCCAGAGGTGCGGGGGCTGGGAGCGAGGTGAGAGACAAGAGTGGGCTGGGGAGCAGAACAGGTGGATCTACTGAAATGCTCTGCTGAGGGGAGCAGTGAGAGAGACAGGAGCAGTCTGCTGTGCCATGTGGGTCACCTCCCTGGCTGGGGATCGAACTCAGGCAGCAGTGGCTTCTGAAAGCTGGCAGCATGAGACGTTAATCCCTGTGCCACCAGGGAGGCCAAGTTTAGCCCCGTTCTTAAAGAGGACACAGGGCCGACCTTCCAGGGATGTCCTTAGGAGGCTCACCCGAGATTGGGGTGCTAACAAAGTGCATCATATTAAAACATCTGAAACCACTTTCTGAGCGTCTCTTAGGCTGGGTCCTAGGCCTAGGGGACGTGGTGAAACAGCCCCCATCTGCACACAGGGACCGCATCCATCAGGGCAGAAAGGCATCGAAAGCTGACGCCCCGGCCGACAGTGGTGGGAGAGGCAAGGCCAAGGGGCGGGGGTCCCGAGCCCCACTGCTCTGGGCACGCTGCTTGTCACTCTGAACAAGTACCTCCTTACCCCTCTGGGTCCCAATTTTCTCTACTCTAAACAAGGAAAGAACAGAACCCATCTGGTAATAAGAGTTCCGAGGATTGAAGAGAGTAGTCAGTTCACACGCCATTTGGAAAAGTGCTGGCTTTCCAAACGATGGCAGTGATCACGGGAACTGTGGTGGGTGTGGGGAGAGGGGGGCGGTGGTGCAGAATGGCTTAGCAGACGGACCTCATCCGGCCAAGGTGGGAGAAAAGGCAGTCGGGGCCATTTCTCAGAGACAGCATTCAAGTGACACCCAGAGCAATATCTACGAAACTGACCCTCACCAGTTGGTGTGGTGGAATGAAGGGTCTGCTAAGGCCGGGTCCTGCTCACACCTCAGATTGCAGGGAACCCTCCTCCCACCCTGCGGCGGCCACCAACTGGGGCCCACATGGGCTCTAGGGAGCCCCCTGGTGGCTGGGGTCCACATGGTGGCAGCAGCGGCATTTGACAGGATGGCTGTTCCAAGCAGGATCACTGAAAGCAGCAGGGGGTCGGTGAGGTTCTCAGGAAAGCTGCCCCCACCTCTCACAGCAGAGATGTGAGGGGCGTGGGCAGAGAGGAGGCACCTCACCTCCAACGCACACGTAGCCACTGACAAGTCAGAGGGCTCTTTTGCACGTCGGGATCACACACCCTAACTCCCTACTTTTGACAACGGCAAATATATCCAGTACATTTTTTTCCATCTCACAGTTTTAAAACTATTCAGGAGACAAAATGCCAACCCGTTTCCCAATAAAATTGCCCAAGGCCCAGACACAAACTGCTGTGCATAATTTTTCTAATAAATCCTGTTTTCAAGCCATAAAGACGAGGGGGTGGTTCCTGTAATTAAACCAAGCTTCGGTTCTCACATTTATGTTTTCCAGGATGTTCCACTGGTTGACTACAAAGCCGCCCTAACAGTCTACAAGTCAAGGCCCTGAACAAGTCAGGCCTGGAGCCACAAAGACTGGCCATCTCTGCGCCCAGCAGCTGCCCAGCGAAAGGGCATTTTTATGTACTTGAGGAAGACTGGTGGTGGCTGTGGGGCCTGTTTTAGTTGAAAGTCTCAGCAGTCAATTTTGATGGCTGAACCTAAACGCAGATCACTAAATAACTTGGACGGTCAATTCAGAGCTGTCCAGTGAGCCAGACTCCCTCTGCCCTTCCACGTTGGCTGCAGACTTACCGAGGTCTATGAGGATCGCGTGCTGCTGGGAGGTGAGCTGTTTTAAGAGTTCTTTGTACGGTGTATCTTTTGGCTGCTGTTTACTGGGAAACTGGTGTTTAAGGTGGTACTGCTCTGCGAGGAATTTCCAGATTTCACCCCGGTGATGACGTGGCACACCTTGAAAGGGCGGGGGAGGAGGCAGAAAACAGACTCAATGCACAGAATACCACTTAATAATGAGAATGCGCGGTTTGATTCCAATGATTTGAATTCTTGTTTCATTATGAATTAACAAGCCAGGAATGAGAGGAAGTAATCAAAATTTTGTGGTATTCGCTCCCTTCTTTCCTTCCTGCACACCTTCTGGTCTTCCCTCCCTCCCCTGATGTCCACCCCCCCTCCCCACCCCGCACCACCTTCACCACCGCCACCACTTTCCTTAATGTTCCACACTCTTGCTGTTCAGACTGGTTTGCTCTGTCCGGGATAGAGTGAATGCCACGAACCAGGGCATTCTGGTTCTGGGGGAAAAAGACCAAGCACATCAAACTATGGTGTAAAGTGTGACCTCACAAACGGGCCAGAACCAAAGAGAGGTGAGTTCAGGTAAGAGCTCAAGGTGGCACGGGACCCTTCCCCAGCGCCGTGCCTCGGGGAAGGCGAGAATCGGGTCAGAGGAAGGGCACCAGGAGAAAGCGGTGCGGATCAGGATGAGGAGCTTTACAGGCAAAGCTGAGGGCAAGAAACCTGCGCTTTCTTGGGCCCTAGGGAACTACGGAATGCACATTTGCTGGGGCAGGGGCAGTCTGGTCAAAGCTGAGCTTCTGGAATACTGGCGAGACAGCCGTCCTCAAGGTGGGCTGAAAGAAGGAGCAAGAGGTTGACGGTCTGTATAACCACATCATCCTGAGTATTTAACGAAATGGAACTTTCCTAGAAAGATTATCCAAGAGCCTCTTAAATGTAACGAATGCTCTAAATGCAATTAATACTGAGTGATTGAAAATGTCTAATAAAACTATGAAAAGTTCCCCTAACGTCAATGATATTATTTAGGGCTGACTTCACTGGGAAAAAATGAATTCAGAGTAAGAGAGACCTGCAGGGGCCGCCGGCCTCTCATCTCTGACAGGTGTCCTCGTGGAGGAAAAGAAGGCTCTGAGTTGGAGACCCCTCTTTCTTTCCATCGAGACAAAAAAAAAAAAAAAAAAAGACCTCTCTCTCTACGCCTCCCTGCCTCTCAGCGCCTCCTGGGGACAGTCCCCAGTCTCAGTCTGTCGCTGAGACTCTGCTGGCTGTGAGGTCACAGTACTGTCAGATTCTTAGTCCTTTCCAATGTCCTCACAGCGGCCAGAGCAGTACTGCGTTCATCCTCATGGTAAAGGTGAGGAACAAAGCTGAAGAGAGCAGGTCCTTCCCCTGCATGCACTGGACACGGCGGGCCGGGCAAGTGCCGCCACTGTCTCCTGGTGCCCGCACGTTCACACCGGCAGGCAGATGGGCAATGGAGAAAGAGCATGTGATGTACTTGGCAGGAAGAAAATAACCACTTGTACCTTGGAGCCAGCTAGCAATTTATTTCATTCAGGACCAGATCCACACGGAAAACAACACTCAGCCACCTCTTGAGAAAACTCAAGGTGGAGTCATTTGTTTCCTCCTTACACTGTGGGCGAGAATCGGCACGCTCGGAACTGTGCCCGCATCACATGCCTTCTCTGGACATTTGCCCCAGTGTTAACCTGATGACCCCGTGTACGGGGCTGAATGGTGGCCCCCAAAAGACAAGGCCATGTCCTAATCTGGTCCCCATGAGATATGTCCACCTCTTAATCCCTGGGACCTGTGGATATTACCTTATTTGGAAAGAAAGGGGTTTTGAAGGTATAGTTTAAAGATCTTGAAATGAGTACATCATGCTGGGTTATCCAGGTGGGACCGATACCCAAGGACAAGTGTCTTTATAAGTGACACACGGATGATAAGGTGGAGGAGGAGGCCGTGTGGCCGTGGGCCAGAGACCGGATACAGCCTCAGTCAGGGGACGTCGCTGGCCACTAGGAGCCCGCGGACACCCTGTATTAGGCTCTTGGCCTTCAGAATCATGACGACAAGGTTTATGTTTTCAGTCACCAATTCTGTGATAATGTATTACATCAGCATCAGGAAACAAATGCACCCTGCTCCCTCCTCATCATATGATTCCAGTCCTTCTTTCCCTCTCGACTATTCCTGTTCAGCCTACACAGACCCCTGGTATTCAAGCCCTGATCAGAAGAAAATATGGCCCGAAAAACAGAATACCAAGTGATTTACTGTGGGACTTTTCACAATGTGTTTTTTTCAAGCTGGGAAATTTTCCCAAGTTAAGAGATGACCAATTTCCTTTTATTACTAAATCATATGCGTGATCTTATCAGGACTTTATTTTTTAGAGGAAAAGAAGACTGGCTGTCATTGGGCAGCACCACATACTCTGTTATTCAAGAGAAAGCTTAGATTTTGTGATTTGAAAACAAAGAGTTAGTCACATCAGAGCCAGTGCTTTTGCTAAGAATCATCTGGAATATCTTTTCCCAGGCTTGGTTTAGCCTACACTTCTGACCAAAAAGGGCGGCCGGGGAGGGCGGGGGCGGGGGCGGTCACAAGAGGTCCAGCCCACACCATCCCTGAATATAAATACTTTTGCTCCTGAAAATACAAAGTACATAGAGAAGAAAGTGAAAAGTCACTCATAACTAAAATAATTCACCAGGCAAGGACAGTATCAAGCTGTAAACCGGGGCTGCAGCAGATAAACAGGCTTATAGGGTCACCCTGCCCATCACCCCAATACCTGTGAAACTCGTCATGGGTGTGGCCTACATATATGCACACAGCAACATGCAAAAATGCACACATGGAGCCTTTTCATTTCACAACTTATATCAAACACGTTTGCAGCAGTCAGCACAGATCCACTGTGTCACTTTCAGGGACTATGGCATGGGGTGATCCCACGGCCGGGGCTTTTTGGTTCTGGTTTTTGGGTTTTTTTTTGTTTTTCTGTTTGTTAAACAATGTCACAATAAGCATTCTTCCTGCAGCCTGACATTGCCGCTGGGTTCATTTCTTGAATAAGTTTCTATGAATGGCGAGCCCAGCCGGGGCCCAAGGGGAGCTACTTTGCATCTGGCCCACAGGCTGCCTCTTCAAGCCCAGTCAGTGCTCTGGCTAGAGTCTGACTTTGAGGGCTTCTGAGAAGTGACTGAAACACACCCTCAACCGAGTCATTTGAAATTCCACAGGGTGATTCCTCTCCTCTCCCAACATGACACCCTCTTCCTGCTACGCTGGTCCAATTTTAACTTGGGAAAGTTGTAGACTCTTTCATTGCCATCATTGCCATCACTCAGGGCCTTTAGGTCAGCCAGGGGGTGGGTGGAGGGGTGGGCCGCGTTGCCCACCAGGATGGGCTTCTCCTCCAAGAGCTCTAAAGTGACCTGGCCTCCATCTCAAAGCGGTGATTCCAATTTAATCTCATTCTGCATTTGCATTTCCATCTCTGTACAAGGGACTGTGGCCCTTGGCTGAAGTCAGGCCTTCCATGCTGAAAGCAGCTAAATAATGGACAGTCGCTTTTAGCCTCAGCTACACCAAATTCCTGTAGCACAAAGTGATGTGGCCGCTGGGGGCAGGGGTGCACGGTGCGTGGATGAGCCTTGGCTCATCTCAGGGTGTGACTTGTTTCCATCTTCTTCCCCAAGCTCCCTGCACAGGGTGCAGCTCCCTAGAGCTTTTCTACCAGTCTCCTTCTAGAATGTGTGATGGAAACGAATGGCAGGAACCAGGCTTTGAAGCAGCTCGAATGTGTGGAACAGCTGTCACCGGCCATGCGCTCTACCTGCCGTAAAAGGCAGAGAATGTACCTGGCTCCCTCTCCGTTTTCTCCTTTTGCAAAACAGCTACCTGGAGCCACTGGTGCAAGGCAAGCCTCGGTGCCATGGGCACCAGCCCTCGAGAACCAAGAGGTTCGTCCCATCCTCTTAGCCGCCCAGCAGGCTGAGGTGAGAACACACGCACAAAGGTCACACTGGGCGCTGCCCATCAATTGGGAGGCTGAGCCCTCACCACCCACTGCATTTTTCATCTCTGAGTCAGCACCTCGAGGTGCAGCTCAACCACACAGGTGTGAGCCACACAGGTGTGTGCTGGCTCTGGGGCACTGGTCCCGCTCTCAGTGCTCTGAGCCCGACTTTCCTCACTCACAGAGAGGGGAAAGTCCTAACCAGTGCGCACTAATACATGATTACTAAGAGTGGTGCTGTCCAAACGCAGTTAAAGGCGTTAGTGATGCCCAACAGCCTCTACCAAAAAGTGCTTTGCTCCACCTACTCCCCTAGACATGAATAATGTGTGTGGAACGTCTTCCACGGAAGAGTAAAGTCAGAAGAAAACCATCGATTTAAACAGATTTGCAATCTTTAAACACCTGGTTTCTTCATGAAGAAAACACCCAAAACTCAGTACCACAAAATCAGATTAGGCTCAGAAAGCTTGAGAACAGACATTAATAGACATTTTAAAAGAACAGTTGGTCGATTAACTTGAACACTAATCATCCAAGTGAAGCTCTAAAATGGTCCCTTCTCAAGCTATCCACTGTTAAAAAAAAAAAAAGACAAAAAAGCCTTTTCTTCCTTAATTTCCCAATCCACTACAGACTGATAGTTTTATTTAAAAAAAAAAAAAAAACATGGTACAAATGAATTTGGCAGAAAAGCAAAATCAGAAGAAAAGACTGACAAATACAAGTTCACATTTTTGAAAAATTAGGACCACTCTGTCACATTGCTGGAAGTTTCCAAATGCTTAGTCTCAAGTTCCATACTTGCTTGGGTCAGAACAGTTCAGATCACATTTAAGCAACAGGTGCCGCCCTCCCCAGGGCCTTTCAGCTCTGTGGCCAGCACAGAGCGCCCTGCTGACCTGCATGCGCGCGCCCCTCTGACAGCCACTGTCACCCCTGCCCCTCACACCTGTAGCTCCAGGGCTCACAGAGGGGACGGTATGAGCCTGCAGCTACTCTGCCAGCTGCTGGCTCTGGCCAGTGTGCGCTGCCTGCCTGAAGCCTGGGCTGACTCGTCTCCTGAGAGTCCCCAGGAAGCACCGTGCAAGTGCTTTTTCAGTTTGCACTTGACCTCAGAGCAGATCATCAGACCACTGCCCTGTTTGTGGGCAGCGGAGTCCTGAGCCTTGCCCCTGCTGTCTTCTTGTTTCCCGGGCTGCAGACTACTTTAATTGATGTAACCGAGAGGGCTAATGAGAGGCGATGAAACACACACCCATTCGCTAAGCTATCTGAAAACAGACACGAGAAACAGGAGACAGACAGCCATTAAAACTGGACTTCATTTTTCTTTTATTCCGTATTTCTCCTCCCCCATCATCAAAAAAGGGGAAGGGGTGGCTGGACCGATTCCGATTCCCGGTAGAGCTTACCTTGCCCAACAGCTGAATGCATTTTTTCCATGTCGAACTTGATTTTGGATCTTCCTGGAGTGCTGAGCATCTTTTCCCACACTGCAGTCACTTCTTTAAGACAAGGAGTGATTTCTTCATAATCAAGCTTCAGACGTTTGTTCAGCAAGTCATTTTCAGAAGCTGGAACCGATTGTGTGAGAGCATGTTAGAAGTGGACGCCAGGGCCACACGTGGTCTCTCCCCAGCTTGGGGCACCCACCTCCACCACTGCCGTACCCAGCAGTTTCAGGGAGCTTAACAGCCCAGTTCTGCCCCACCCCATTTTCTTTACCCTGGAAAAAGCTGAAAACCTAAGATGTATCACAATTTCTGCAACCCGTTCACTACCTGGGTCTTGTTGGTTCTGCTGGTAAAATGGACCCCCCATCTGTCCGAGCCTGTCCATGTCCACTGCCATCCAATTAGCTCAGTAACATCTCCAGGAGCTGCAGCTACATGCTCGCATTTCCAGCGGCTGGCACGGTTAGAGCTCAAGATATTGTTTTCATGGAAACAGGACAGATTCTCCAAAGGACAAGCACATTCCTTCCTTCTCAGAGCCAACCCCTGTAGGTCGCTTCTAAATTGCTCATGCGTCTGCTTCCTGGAGCTGAGCAGAGTAAGTCTCCCTGTCCTTCTGGCAACTTCTCAACCACAGGAGGACAGCTATTCCTCCCCACCGATCTTTTCCAGCTTAACACTGCATTAGGAAGAATGCCACCTCAACTACCAAAGTACAGAGGGGGCAGAGAAAAAAATAAGGGACAACTAAACGATTCTAAGAAAGACTGAAACCGACAACCTCACTCCCACATGAAACGACCAAGTTCTAGTCATACATAATGGTCATGAACTGTCAGCCCCAGAATCACCACACACCTCATCTTGGATCCAGACTGAATTTATTAGAAGAGCAGTTAAGGTACACAGCTAAGTACAAGCCAGTGCTGGCTTCAGCTCAGGTGACAGATCCTTCTTTATGGTGACACTATGTGTCTTAAACACTTCACAGCAATCTCCATCTTGATGGCTCTCTGAGGTACAGTTTTGGATGAGGAGACTGAGAGGCTCTCCAGGTCCCAGAGCAGGAGGCAGAGCTGGCCTGGCCCCTCCCCCCTCCACTGGGAGGGGAACAGTCGAGGAGGGTGGGGGCTTGCTGCGGGTAACTAGTCCTTCTTTCCAGGACGAGGCAAGTGTCAATTAGGGGGCAAAAGTGTTTGCTAGAATCCAGAGACGCTCTCTGGGCGCAGACTTACCTTTGTGTGAAAGGTAAGTCTGCGCA